AGAATGGGTTAACTCTATGGGACCTTTTTGCCAGTATCAAAGTACAGTGAGGGAAAAAAGTTTTTGATCCCCTGCTGATTTTGTACGCTTGCCCACTGACAAAGAAATTATCAGTCTATCATTTTAGTGGTAGGTTTATTTGAACAGTGAGAGACAGAATAACAACAACAAAATCCAGAAAAACGCATGTCAAAATGTTGTAAATTGATTTGCATTTTAATGAGAGAAATAAGTATTTTACCCCCTCTCAATCAGAAAGATTTCTGGCTCCCAGGTGTCTTTTATGCAGGTAACGAGCTGATATTAGTAGCACTCTTAAAGGGAGTGCTCCTAATCTCAGCTTGTTACCTGTATAAAAGACACCTGTCCACAGAAGCAATCAATCAATCAGATTCCAAACTCTCCACCATGGCCAAGACCAAAGAGCTCCCCAAGGATGTCAGAGACAAGATTGTAGACCTACACAAGGCTGGAATGGGCTACAAGACCACTGCCAAGCAGCTTGGTGAGAAGGTGACAACAGTTGGTGCGATTATTCGCAAATGGAAGAAACACAAAATAACTGTCAATCTCCCTCGGCCTGGGGATCCATGCAAGATCTCACCTCGTGGAGTTGCAATGATCATGAGAACGATGAGGAATCAGCCCAGAACTACACGGGAGGATCTTGTCAATGATCTCAAGGCAGCTGGGACCATAGTCACCAAGAAAACAATTGGTAACACACTACGCCGTGAAGGACTGAAATCTCGCAGCGCCCGCAAGGTCCCCCTGCTCAAGAAAGCACATATACATGCCCGTCTGAAGTTTGCCAATGAACATCTGAATGATTCCTAGGACAACTGGGTGAAAGTGTTGTGGTCAGATGAGACCAAAATGGAGCTCTTTGGCATCAACTCAACTCGCCGTGTTTGGAGGAGGAGGAATGCTGCCTATGACTCCAAGGACACCATCCCCACCGTGAAACATGGAGGTGGAAACATTGTGCTTTGGGGGTGTTTTTCTGGTAAGGGGACAGGACAACTTCACCGCATCAAAGGGAGGATGGACGGGGCCATGTACCATCAAATCTTGGGTGAGAACCTCCTTCCCTCAGCCAGGGCATTGAAAATGGGTCATGGATGGGTATTCCAGCATGACAATGACCCACAACACACGGCCAAGGCAACAAAGGAGTGGCTCAAGAAGAAGCACATTAAGGTCCTGGAGTGGCCTAGCCAGTATCCAGACCTTAATCCCATAGAAAATCTGTGGAGGGAGCTGAAGGTTTGAGTTGTCAAATGTCAGCTTCGAAACCTTAATGACTTGGAGAAGATCTGCAAAGATGAGTGGGACAAAATCCCTCCTGAGATGTGTGCAAACCTGGTGGCCAACTACAAGAAACGTCTGACCTCTGTGATTGCCAACAATGGTTTTGCCACCAAGTGCTAAGTCACGTTTTGCAGAGGGGTCAAATACTTATTTCCCTCATTAAAATGCAAATCAATTCATAACATTTTTTAAATGCGTTTTTCTGGATGTTTGTTGTTGTTATTCTGTCTCTCACTGTTCAAATAAACCTACCATTAAAATTATAGACTGATCATTTCTTTGTCAGTGGGCAAACGTACAAAATCAGCAGGGGATCAAATACTTTTTACCCTCACTGTATGAAACAAAAGAAGATGTTTTACCCTTTCTGGCAATAAAAAAGGAGGTATTAAGATGTTCAGACATCAAATAGATAACTTTTTCAGGGAATCAAGTCTGCATTAACCACACGTCTTTGTGGCAAAACATGCAAACAAAACATCTCACCTTTAAAATTATTTTTTGTCTGTCTGTCTCTGTACGCCTATCCTTGTAACGCTTTTAACTGACAAACTATTTTGATTACGTTTTAACAAATACAACAAACTAAGCCCCTGGATGAACACTTGCTATTTGTTTTTACCCTTGGTCCAATGTAAACTAAGAAAATCACACTTTGTAACAAAATACGCTGATCGTAATGATAACTTTGAGCGCACGACAAGGCACGCATCTGTGCATGTGCGGAACGAAACTCGCGGTTGCCCCTTGTAAGGCAAACAAACTTGCTGAGCGACGACGGGAGGGAAATTCTTCGCGTTAAAAATGCCAAATACAAATCAGTGAAGCCTCTCCAAGACAAAAACAAACACAAAGAGAGTGGCGCTGTGGCAAGCAAAACAAACAGTGGAGAGGCAGCGGCTGTCCCAACAGCAAACAAACAACGAAGGCACCTCAGAAGCACAGGCTGAAGAAAACTACAGAGCAGCGTGATGTCCTCTTCTCCCCCGCCCACCCCAATGTGTGCAATTACTTCTATAGAGTCAGTAGATACTACTGTAGAGTCAGTAGATACTACTATAGAGTCAGTAGATACTACTGTAGAGTCAGTAGATACTACTGTAGGGTCAGTAGATACTACTGGAGAGTCAGTAGATACTACTATAGTCAGTAGATACTACTGTAGAGTCAGTAGATACTACTGTAGAGTCAGTAGATACTACTATAGAGTCAGTAGATACTACTGTAGAGTCAGTAGATACTACTATAGTCAGTAGATACTACTGTAGAGTCAGTAGATACTACTGTAGAGTCAGTAGATACTACTATAGAGTCAGTAGATACTACTGTAGAGTCAGTAGATACTACTGTAGAGTCAGTAGATACTACTATAGAGTCAGTAGATACTTCTGTAGAGTCAGTAGATACTCCTGTAGGGTCAGTAGATACTACTGGAGAGTCAGTAGATACTACTGTAGGGTCAGTAGATACTACTGGAGAGTCAGTAGATACTACTGTAGAGTCAGTAGATACTACTGTAGAGTCAGTAGATACTACTGTAGAGTCAGTAGATACTACTATAGAGTCAGTAGATACTACTGTAGAGTCAGTAGATACTACTATAGAGTCAGTAGATACTACTGTAGTGTCAGTAGATACTACTGTAGAGTCAGTAGATACTACTGTAGTGTCAGTAGATACTACTGTAGAGTCAGTAGATACTACTGTAGAGTCAGTAGATGCTACTACAGAGTCAGTAGATACTACTGTAGAGTCAGTAGTTACTACTATAGAGTCAGTAGATACTTCTATAGAGTCAGTAGATACTACCGTAGAATCAGTAAATGCTACTATAAAGTCAGTAGATGCTACTATAGAATCAATAGATACTACTATAGGGTCAGTAGATACTACTATCGTGACTAGATACTACTGTAGAGTCACTAGATACTACTGATGCTATGGTATGTAGGGTGTGTAGCTATATATGCCTATAAAATTAATAAAATTGGGTGGAGGGAGGGGTAAAATAGAATTGGGGGAGGGTCGACAATTTTTGAAAACCATTTAGATAAACTTTTTACCCCCACTTTCTGTAACTTTTAGATTCAGGAATTCTGAAAGGCTCTTAAAGTTTAGTTGACAGACAAATGGACAGACAAACAGAAAGCAGGGCTTTATGATATCTTAGTATTTGTGTATATATGTTATGTGTGTATGTTATACTTTTTATATAGAAGACAAGTTTTGAAATATATATTTTCCCCCTGGCCAAAGCCGGGAACTTCCTGCTCGTGCTCTGATAAAATACTCGCAGTCTTTGAAACTGATTGGCCTACACGAGAGACTTTACCGAAATAACCAAAGAGTATGGATCATGGCAGTCACGAAAACTTCTGATCTAGAAGGAAATAGGTGTTCACTAATATTACACTGGGGCACCGCACCCCTTAGCTCAGTGCACGCAGACTTCGCCAAACATTCCTGAGAAATGCCGGGTTGGGCAAAACCGCTTTCAAAAAAGTAACAGACCTCGTGAGACAGCTCGGGTTGCCTTCCTGGGTCCTAAACGATCACCCCCTCCCTGTTTGCTATAACTAATTCTGCACGATTTCTGCCCTTGTTATTGTACTAACAGATGCTGAGTCGCTCTTCATGTCTTGTGCCATCATCATCATCGCGATCTATGGGCAGATGGCCCTTAAGGTGTCAACTGCACATTTTATCATTCAGTTCCACTTCCCTCTGTCTTGTCGTGCCAATCTGCTTAAGTAGTGACCACGCCTTTCTGGCACCAATCTCTTCTTATGTCCTCATCAAGCCATTCTCCGTCAAGTCTTCCTCTCTTTCCGGTTCCTTCCATGTTTCTGAACGACGTGACTTTGAATTTTCCTGTTGTTGTCCATCCTGCAGATGTGTCCAAATAGTGCCAGTTTCCTTCTCATCAATGCCTGCATCATCAGGTTGTCTTCTTCTTCCTGTTGTGTGTGTACGATTTTTTGGTTTTCAATATTGCCTCAACACAAAACCCTGGTCTCCATTACTAATCCCATCACCACGGCACTCACGATGATGTTGGTCGCGAAAGCCTGCGTGTTAAACTGACTAACCTCTATGGGGAGGATACTTTTCTTCAAACTAGAAAATTGGAGATAATCCGAATTAAGTGGATTAAGCTGTTGTCTTCACTGCCGTCCCTCAAAAGATGCAAGGATTACGTTGATTACCACATAAATAACCCAACTGGCAGTGGATACCCATTCTGATTTATATGCATTCATTAATCCACCCACCCCACATTGCTCAAGAAGTGCTCACAAGTGATGCCATCAAATCTACCCCTCTATTTAAGGAACGAAACAGGAGGATCTCTCCACAAATCTGTTTGTCGCCTGATGAAGCTGGTTGTAATTACTGGCGAAACATTGTAATCAGATAGTAAATGTTGTGACTTTGCTCTCCAACACACCGGTGTGCTGTACTCGTAACGAACTGGCATGTTCTGTTTACGTGACAAACCTTACAATTGTCTGTGTCGGGTCGTGGCGAGTTTAACGACACATTTATATATTTACACGATCTAACCCAAAACAACCTCGATCATGGATCACCCCCCGTGTTCTGACAAACCGACGCATTCGAAAAAGCTGCATTGGGCAAGGTTTCCCACATTTAGATGTCTTACTATGATAGAGAGATTTATAACTCACCCTTTCTTCACGTCCATCAATGATCCTTAACCACTCCGCCAGCGTGTGGTTAATGCCGCTGATTGTACAGGTGTAGGAGCAGGGCAGGAAAATCTTGCTGCCTGCTACGGCGTTCATTTTCTCTGGGGTGACGACCATTAATTCTAGGGAAACAACAACACACAGCGCCCACATTAGTACATCTCGTATATAGCATTAAGATATATAACGACTTATTGTTGGTAGCTTAGCTGATTGTAGAATATAGAGTTTATTGATAACATTGAGGTAATTTATATTTTAGTTTTTTTTATTGGTTCACTATATAGTATTCATTATATATTGTATTGTATACCCAGTTACTGTGAATAGCTCAGATGTGTAGGCCTTGACTTCAACATAGCCATTTCTGTGACCAGTCACAAGCTAATCACTCAGTTATTTCACTGCTAAATTCGCCTAGTTATTTCAATGCTAAATTCTCCTGTTTGATTTGTACTAGGTGCCTCGGTGAATGTATATGCTCTGACTTTAACATAGCTATTTCTGTGACCAGTTACAAGCTAATCACTCAGCTATTTCAATGCTAAATTCGATGCTAATTCCTTTGTCAAGGGGTGCCTCTGCGGATGTGTATACTTTAACTTAGCTATTTCAATGCTAAATTCTATGCTAATTCCTTTGTCAAGGGGTGCCTTTGCGGATGTGTATGCTTTAACTTTAACATAGCCTTTTCTGTGACCAGTCACAAGCTAATCACTCAGCCATTTCAATGCTAAATTATATGCTAATTCCTTTGTCAAGGCGCTTTGTTTCTTCTCACACAGCTTAAAGGTCGTGATCTCAGCGTGGCTTTCTCACTCCAGTGCTGTCCTCCAGACAGTCTCGTCCCCTTCACCTGATGAAGGCCGCTTGTGTTGTGGCCGAAACGTCGTGAGAATATTATTGCGTTATTTTATTTTATCAATTTATTATTTTATTCTCATTCTACGTGACTTTACCGAAAGAACCAAAGAAAATGAATCCTTCCAGTCACCAAAGCTTTAAATCGATACATATGTCTGTTTACGTCAATGCTTGTGTGAGTCCACGTATGTCTGTGTGTGAGTCGATGTGTGTCTGTGTGTGAGTCGCTGTATATGTGTACGTCAATATGTGTGTGTAACTCCATGTGTGTGTATCTAAAGTGGATGTCTATGTGTGTGTAAGTCCATATGTGTGTGTGTGTCAGTCCATGTGTGTGTGTGTTAGTCGTTTTACGTGCGTGGCTCCATGTGAGTCGGTGTAATTCAATTTCTTTGCGTTTTTGTATGTCCATGTGTGCGTGTGAGTCCATGTGTGTGCTTTATTGACCTGGTCAAGGCCGAGCATACTATCAGTAGGCCTGGCCTCTGCGTTGTTCTTCATGCTTTCGGAGTCCCTCACACTTTGCTCACGATCCTTAAGGACCTTCATGATGGTGAGCGGCCCCCGTCCAACTACGTGGCCGTGAGTCAGAGCCATTCCTTCTACACCTTCTGGTGCGACAAGGATGTCCTCTGGCTCCCACATTATTTAACATTTATTTTGACCACGCAGTTCGTGAAGCCTTCAATGGCTGTACCGGAGGAATTACCATTTGGTACAGATACAATGGGAGGCTGATCGATGCCCTGGTGCGGTCAAGTGATGGCTCCCTATTGCTCAACCATGTTATGTATGCCGATGCTCTGCTGATTGCTGCTCACTCAGAGGAGGAGTTGGAGGTGCTGCTGCTAAATCTGGAGCTTGCCACTAAGAGGTGGAGCCTTACCAAAACTAAGCACCTGCCTGGTTATTTTGTACCATCGGAAAATCCACCCCCACAACTCACAATTGGTGATGGGCCAGTTATCGAGATTTCCCATAGCTGGCCAGTGTGCTCATGACCGGCTCCGGTTTAACAGCAGAGGTCTCGCTCCGAATCAGTCGAGCGCCATTATCTTTTCATCGGCTGCGTAATGCTGTGTGGAAGCTACCTGCTCTCTCGCTCCGTATGAAGCTCCAGGTCTTCTCGCCCACGGTAATTCCCTCCCTTCTCTACGCTTGCAAAACATTGACCCCCCCCCCCAATAGAACATCTTCGCCGATTAGAAACATTTAGGCTGGCCTGCCAACGATCCATCCTGGGTTAAAGAAGGCTCTATTGTGTGAGGAGCTCACAAATATTTGAAAGACCTAGACAAAGTCACATTGGTGACCTCCTACGACAGGCAAGGCTGCGTTGGCTGCGCCATGTAGCCTGCATGCCCAGCCACCGCATGCCGAAACAGCTTTTGTTCCACCGGATTGAGGGGGATAAACGGGCGCGGCACAGGCTACAGCAGAGATAGAGTGATGTGGTACAGGAGGAAGTGGACTCAGTGGACTTGTCGATGACTGGTACCAGCGGTGTCAAGATCAGCCTCTGTGGAGGAGGCTCATGAAGGACGCTACTGGCCAGTTTGAGACAGTCGCCCTCCAACAACAATGGAGGGCGGAAGAGCGACGCTCAGAACAATGAGCAGAGCGCCGGGTGGCTTAAGCACAGCAAGTTGCCATAGTAGGGGGCACAGGTGATGCATCAGCCAGTCATCTCAGTCAGTCGACCCGTGGCACCTGGGTCTGCCTCGTAACCTCTGGCCAGCAGGCGCTCGACACTTCACTTGGCCTCAAGGTGCACACAGCCTGGCACAAGCGTCGTGGTGATATCAACGCCACTTAGTGGCGAATGGCGGTTGTTGTGTGTGTATATGTACATGTCTGTGTGTGTGCATAAGTCTATGTGTGTGTGTGTGTGTAAGTCGACGTATGTGCGTCAGTCCATGTGTGTGTGTAAGTTGTGTGTCTTAGTCGATGTGTGTCTTTGTAAGTCCATATGTGTGTGTTAGTCTATGTGTGTGTGTGAGTCGATGTGTGTGTGTAACTCCATGTGTGTGTGTCTAAAGTCGATGTCTGTCTGTATGAGTCCATATGTGTGTGTGTGTGTGTGCGTGTAAGTCTATGTGTTTCTATGTGTGTGAGTCGATGTCTGTGTGTAAGTCCATGTGTGTGTCTGCCTTTTTTGCCCGGGCAACGCCGGGTACTTACCGCAAGTGTAATTATAATGCTACGTGGCATTGTCTTTAATAATAATGTAACTATAATGTTACATGGCATTGTCTTTGAAACTGATTGGCCTACACCACAGACAGCAGCCTTCTTTATGGCCTAGTCTCACCAGTTGTGTCAGACCAGAGAACGCCTAAAGGCGAACAGTACAAAAACAATGCACTATCAGAGCGTTTATAGCTGGGAGTGAGCAGCTGTATCAAGTTCTGATGGCAATTGGCCATCGGTGTTGATGAGATTTATAGCCAGGAGTTGAACCCAGATATTTGTGATCCTTATAGTGGTAACATGTCGTGAGATGCAGAATCCATTGGATCCCTCAAAGTGCAGCGCAACCTTTCGTGTGAAGAGCATGGCCCACAGAAGTAGATATCACACAACTACCTCTGACACCCCACAGAGTGACCTCTGGTCCATGTGTGTGTGTGTTGAACTTCTTTCGCACCATACGTAGCCAACCGTGTGAATCGGAGGTACAAGGCAACGACAACAAACTAAACACAAGAAAGCAGTTATAAAGAAATTAGTTTGTCAATTCAGATGATGTAAAAGTGCACAGCTCAGTAGCTTCCTTATATCGGAAGGCAGAGCGTTCCAGACGGTCGCAGAAACACATCTGAAAGCAAGCGATGCAGTGACCGAGGGCGAGCCAAAAGCCGCTGGGAGGATAACCAGAGATCACGTGACCATGGTTCATGCTCCTTGACGATCTCAGCAAGGTGGTACTGCGGTTCATTTGTGGCAAGAACTTTGCGTGTAATGAGTGCGACCTTTAGAATGAACGAGTTCGGCAATGCAGCTCGCCGAGCACTCGACAGACACGGCCCCATCTTGCAGTACCCGTCACGACGCGTGCCAGACAGTTTTGTCCACGCTGCGGTTTGCAAATATTTTTTTCCAGACATCCCGTAGAGTAGTGAGTTGCAATAATGGAGCCTTGACGATATTACTGTGCTAGGCTACACGCCACCGTGTTGGCTACGTCACGACTCAGGCAGTAGAGGGCAGTACGTTCCCATCTATTCTGCTACAGAGAGTTCATGTTGCATGGCAGTCGGGACGAGTTTTTCGTCATTCTCGGAGCGAGAATCGAGGCGCTGCACCAACGTTGATGTGGAGGGGATTTTGTGCACTCACTGTGGTGACCGCCTTGGAGAGCAATGCACTCGTGAATCTGGCATTCATTGTTGGGCCAAACGAGTATCAAGTTTCATTTATTCGGTATAGCCCTGTGAGCCATGCGGCTCTTAAGTCAGGTGCAACCGCAACAAACAAAATATGTTATACAGAACATCCCAAAGCGGCGACGCACAACAGAAACATCCTGGAATTCAACCAGCAAATATTCCACGCAAAAAAAAGTTATTAAGTTGTAGTTAGTTACAATAGTGACTTAATGAGGGAGATTGTTAGTGTAGCCGGTATGGGCTCAATGTAATGAACCACAAGTGTAATTGTGAATTAAAGTAATAATGACCATGGATTGGACCCATAGAGTCACGTGAGTGCACAGTAGGCCACGCCCACCAGTAGAGTAATCAATTCAGGGTACAGGGCACCTATTCAGATTCGGGTGAACACTGTACAAGTATCACAGATTTACAGCTCCGTTAAAACATAAATAACTATAACTGTTTAACAATTGGTATTATTGTTATTTTAATATTAACAAATTTGGATTAAGTTAATTACAGTAAATATATTCACAGTTAAGAGTTTGATATTTAGAGGCGATTTTAATAGTATAATAGATAGTGATTTGGGTGTTGTTCTAGATTCTAGAATATTAACACTTGCACTAAATCCCGTCAGTACTGAGCAGTGAGGTGGTGTGAATTGGGGTTTATTGGCGTGCATCTGGTCATAATCACAGATGCACGAATGCTCATCAGAAGAACACTAAGAAATAAGTAATATAAAACATTTTTAAAAACACGCTTTAATGAAATGTACCGTACTAGTAATAGGCAGAACTCCGCGACTCCAGGAAGTGGCCAGGAAGCTTGCCACAACGTAAGGGACCCGTGGTGATTTACAGCCAACGTCAGTTAAGCGTGGACAATTAGACCCAAGCCGAAACATAACATATAAAAAATATTGTTTAAAAATATATATTTTATATTTTAATGATATAATATAGTATTGTCATCAGTATGACATAAGTTTACCAAGTTTTCAGTCGATACCACATTGGGAAGTGGGTTAGAATTGAGTTACAAGATTTGAGGATACAACAACAACAGACAGAGTGAGTTAATAGAAAGCGTGAAATAATAATAAAGAGTTGCAGTCACACAACCCTCTGGTGTCCCTTGGTGGTGGAGTAATCAGATTCTCAGAAGGAGAGCAGAACACAACGCAGAGTTTTCACTCATCCCCTCCGAACTCATCATCTACTATTGTTGTTTTTACTTATTAACCGGCTTGTCCCCTCGTAACAATCACGGGAGGAGAGGGATAGGACGGGCCGGTTACATTAGTTAGATGTTACGTTTTGTAGTTAAATAATGGATTACTTTATGAAAAATTAAACGGTTATTTAATGCTACTACGATTCTTGCTTGAGCATTATTTGTGTTAGAAGATCACTAAATTAGCTTTCTTTTGATTGTTATTGATTTATCATTCGTTCCCAGGCGCTCTATAGCTTTTGACACTGCCCAGTTAATAGGTAACTAGTAATGATGATGATGGTGATGACGGTGGTGGTAATGACGATGGTGGTGATGATGATGACGGTGATGATGACGATGGTGATGATGATGATGGTGGTCATGAAAGTGGTGATCATGATGGTGGTGGTGATGATGATGATCATGATGGTGGTGACGATGATGGTGGTGATGGTGACGATGATGGTGATGGTGGTGATGATGGTGGTTATGGTAATGATGGCAATGGTGGTGATGAATTCGAGTTGACCACAACCTGCTATTGAACTCACCACGTGGTGTTCTTCCTTGGCGCTGCACTCCGGACTCCGAGCCATCCCCAACCCCCGCGCTGTCAGCGAACACCGTTCCTGCGGATAAATCAGAATCTCAGAATCAGAATTTATTTTACTTATAATGGAGGAATCCGATGAGCTATGAAGCTCTGTTTCACAGATGATCCAGTAGGGCCACGGGGTAAGAACGTTACACTGATGACAGTTGCATTAGGGGTGCTATGGTGGCGAGGAGATGTTAACTACCTCGCCTTGTATACAGGAGGTCGTGGGTTCGGTCAAAGCCCTAACACCACGGTGGCTAGGAGATGTTAACTACCTCGCCTGGTATACAGGAGGTCGTGGGTTCGATCAAAGCCTTAACACCACGGTGGCGAGGAGATGTTAACTACCTCGCCTGGTATACAGGAGGTCGTGGTTTTGATCCCAACCCTAACGCCTGTTGTATATTTGGCATTTGCGTGTTTTCCCCGTGGTCTCGTGGATTTGACTCAGGGTTCTCCGGGTTTTCCCTCCACATATAGAATCAACATCACATGTTCAAAGTATTTGGCTGCTAGACATTTCCACGTGATGATGATGACGACGATCAGCCACTTCGTTGAGCTACCATTTGTGGAAAGCATCATAGCCGACGCACAGCAATGCCTTGCATTGCCCTGCTCTTTGCTGTATCTATGTACGTATGTTGAACTTGCTTCGCACCGTACGTAGCCAAGCGTGCTGAGTATGTATGTGTTGAACTTCTTTCGCACTGTACGTAGACAACCGTGCTAAGCGGAGGTGCGGGGAACGACAACAAACGAGCTTGTTGCTGGCTTCACAGAGCCCCGCAGATGCCCCGTGACAGCCTGTCAAGCGTGATCGGTGCAGACCTCCCCAGACTCAACAGCCCTGCTGATCTGCACAGACCGGACGAGTTCCTGGTTGTATTGTGCCACCGATGTTGGCGGTGTGTGAGGTGGGCGGGGAATGCGGGGTATGCGGGGTATGTGGAATGAAAACCGCAGAGTCGCCTGATGCTCCTCCTTGTTGTAATTACCGGCGATAGTCACGGTACTCGGATTTTAAATGTTGTAGTGGGCTCACTCTCCAACACACAACAACCAATGAGTGCTGTACTACATTATGAGACCTCCTTTGCCAGTAACAAGATATAGTAATAGGTTTTTACCCGTTTATCTGGCACAAAAACTGACACCTTTATACAAGGGATCATGTTTGCAATAACCACAACACAAGTAGTCAAAATGCAAACAAAAAAGACAACTCTGATAACATGCACTGTCCTTGAATTTGATTGGTCCAGTCTCGGGTCCAGTCCAGTCTCGGGTGTGAACCAAACAACGTGGCACAAAGTGGGGATGACCCTGCTGAGGCTGCGGTGCCTCATATATTGGAAGAAGAAGTCACCCCCTGTGAGTGGCTGGCTGAGGTGCCATCTGTTGAGGAAGTACTGAAGGCGATCCGGAGTCTGAGACCAGGAAAGGCACCGGGCAGAGATGATCTCCCAAGCGAAATGCTGAGGGAGGGTGGCGTTTGTGCACAGACTGCCCTATATGACATCATAACAACAGTCTGGACCACTGGACGGGTTCCGCAGGATTAGAAGGATGCCCTGGTGGTCCCCCTCTTTAAGAAGGGGGACTGCACAGACTGTAACAACTACAGGGGCATCTCACTCCTCAGTGTGCGGGGAAAGGTCCTGGCAAGGATTATTCAGCATCACCTTGCCAGGCACGTTGAGGAGAGGCTTGCGGAGCCCCAATATGGTTTCAAGAAAGGGCGGTCCTGCACAGATGCCATATTTTCTGTCCGTTTGCTCCAGCAGAGGTGTAGGGAATTCCAACAAGACCTACATCTCTGCTTTATTGACCTGGTCAAGGCCTATGATGTCATCAGTAGGCCTGGGCTCTGGGTTGTTCTTCGTGCTTTCGGAGTCCCTGACCCTCTGCTCACGCTCATTAAGGACCTTCATGATGGTGAGCGGGTCCGGGTAAAACTACGTAGCCGGGAGTCGGTGCCATTCCCTGTTCACTTTGGGGTGCGACAGGGATGTCCTCTGGCTCCCACATTACTTAACATCTATTTCGACCAAGTAGTTCGTGAAGCCTTTGATGGCTGTACCGTAGGAATTTCCATCTGGTACAGATACAATGGGAGGTTGATCGAAGCCCGGGTGCATCAAGGGATAGCTCCCTGTTGGTCAACCACGTTATGTATGCCGATGATCTGGTAATTGGCTGCTCACTCAGAGAAGGAGTTGGAGGCGCTGCTGCTGTACCTGGAGCGTGCCACTAAGAGGTGGGGCCTTACCATCAGCCCCACCAAAAGTAAGCACCTGCCTGGGCATTTGTACCATCGCGCGACCCCCCACGTGCCCCCCACGTGCCCCCCACGTGCCCCCCACGTGCCCCCCACGTGCCCCCCACGTGCCCCCGACGTGCCCCCTGCTCCAGTCCCTCCACCCACAGCCTCGCTCAGCGCTTGCCCCAGCAGCCTATTACAGGCTAAACATGGTGGTGGTGATGCTACTTACCAATTAATAATAGTATTACTATTGTTGTTGCTTTTGTTGTTCCAAGAGTAGAAATCGCGGCCATTCCTTTACGAATGGAGGACAGGAAATCTGTAAAATGAACAAGTTACAAACAATTTACAAATTAATTCATCGTTTGGCAGGGTCACGTCTCCCCACTTCACCTTGCGGCAAGACTCATCAACACGAGACAGTGAATCTCAACGGGAGCTCTCTCAGCTGGTGGTTAAATAAATAACGTCAATCACATGGGGCAATGACTTTGAATGGGGTCTGAATCTCTGAGTGAGTTAATGAAATTGGGATAAAATCTCCCGGTTAGATCGGTAACCACAGAGAGCAGTCCAACCGGTCCCTCAACTGCTGAAGGCCACGGCAGCATTGCACGCATGCCTCTCACGTACCTTGCGGTGTTTCCCACTCACCTTAGAGGTATGCGCGTGAAATACCAAAATAACGATCCCAGTCTAACTTCTACTAATAGACTGCAGGGGCAAGCGCTGTTGGCCTGTAGAGCCTACTCCGGCCTGCACTGTGGCACACGAGGGAGTGGGTGGGCAGCACCACGCCCGGCCGCCTTTGTCTCCCCAGTGGCGATGTTTAAGACATTTGAGGATGAGTCGACTTACAAACACACACCGCCTCGCACGCTTTCAGATGCACTTCTGCAGCCGTCTGGAACGCTCTTCCATGCGATATTGAGAAGCCACTTTTAAATCATCTCGATTGAGCACTAATTTGTTTAGACGTGAGTGCTGTTGTTGTTGTGCTAAGATTGTTGTCCTTCACCTGCAACTGCGATTAGCCACGGTTGGCTACGTACGGTGAGAAAGAAGTCCAACATCCATACCAATACCCGCCATTCGCCACTAAGTGACGGTGACGTCACAACGGCGCCTGTGCCAGGCTAGGTGCACTTAATAAAGGTTTTTGGGTTAGATCGCGTTATTTATAAATGTGTCGTAACCCTCCACCATCCGACACGGCCAATCAGCAAAAAAGTGTCACGTTGCCAAAAGACAAATAGTTCACTACTTTAGCCCACCGGTGTGTTGAAGAGTGAATCCACTCAAACTGTAAATGTTGTGGATTCACTCTTCAACACATTCAGACACACACTCACACACACTCACACACACTCACACATTTACACACACACTCACACACACTCACACACTCACACACACTCACACACTTACACACACACTCACACACACTCACACACTTACACAACAACCGCCATTCGCCACTAAGTGGCGGTGACGTCACCACGACGCTTGTGCCAGGCTATGTGCACCCTGAGGCCACGTGAAGTGTCGAACGCCCGCTGGCAGGAGGTCACGGGGCAGACCCAGGTGCCACGGGTCGACTGACTGAGATGACTGGCTGATGCACCACCTGTGCCCCCTACTGTGCCAACCTGCTGTGCTTTAGCCACCCGGCGCTCCGCTCGCTGTTGTGAGCGTCGCTCCTCCGCCCTCCGTTGTTGTTGGAGGGCGACTGCCTCCAACTGCCCAGTAGCATCCTTCACGAGCCTCCTCCACAGAGGCCGATCTTGACACCGCTGGTACCAGTCATCGGCAAGTCCACTCAGCTCCACGTCCTCCTGTACCACATCACTCCATCTCTTCTCTAGCCCGTGCCGCGCCCGCTTAGCCCCCTCAATCCGGCCAAACAAAAGCTGTTTCGGCATGCGGTGGCTGGGCATGCGGGCTACATGACCCAGCCATCGCAGCCTTGCCTGCTGGAGGAGCTCACCGATGGGACCCTGCCCAGATCTTTCAAGGATTTGTGAGCTCCTCACACAATCCAGTCTGGTTAAACCCAGGATGGATCGTAGGCAGGCCAGCCTAAATGTTTCTAACCGGCGAAGATGTTCCATTACACACTCACACACACACACTCACACACTTACACACACACTCACACACACACTCACACACACTCACACACACTCACACACTTACACACACACACTTACACACACACTCACACACTCACACACACTCACACACACTCACACACTTACACACACACTCACACACACTTACACACACACTCACACACTCACACACACTCACACACACTTACACACTCACACACTTACACATAGTTTAATCCTCACCGTTGTTAGCCCAAGTCACAGCTCCGTGGGGTGAACGATAATGATTCGATGCACGCGTTCAGTGGCACCGCGTGTGAATGTGAGTGTGTGTGAGTGTGTGTGCCTGTCACCTCTGCGTGTGTTCGTGTGTGTGAGTGTGTGGGGCTGTCACCTCTGTGTGTGGTGAGTGGCTGTCACCTGTGAGTGTGTGTGGATGTCATCTCTGCGTGTGTGTGTGAGTTTGGCACTCACCTATGTGCGTGAGTGTCAATGCACAGTGAGTGGTGCTACCTGCCCCGTCACTCTGACAGCAGAATGGATGCTTCACCACCCCCACCCCTCTCCCTCTCCGTGTTAGATGACGAGGCAAGCTGAGGTTGTCCAGCTGTGACTCACAGACGGAAGTGAGATAACTGTGGGGTTCTCTAGTCCAAGGGGTGGGTGGGGTACAGCACAAACCACGTCACAGATGTTAACTATGTTGTTTGGGTCTTTCGGTAAAGTCACGTAGATCGACACAAAGTTTCGATCGCAGCACAAGCGGTCGTCTTCAGACGTTTCGATCCCTTGCGTTGCGATCAAAACTTTGTAGTTTTTGTTATTTTCTTTGAACCTATCTACGTGATTTTACGGAAAGACTCAAAGAATATAAATTCTGGCAGTCACGGAAGCTTTAAGTCAAGAGATGTTAACCACCTCGCCTGGTGTACAGGAGGTCGTGGCTTCAATCCCGACCCTGACGAACTGCTGCTGTATATTTGTAGTTTGTGTGTTTACTCCCCCCGTGGTCGTGTGGATTTTTCTCCCCTACACATTCAGAATCTCCAACACCACACGTTTAGAGTATTTGTCTCCTGCTATGAATGTCTATGTAGTGACGTAAATGGTGTAACTAGGGTGTTGGCGCCAGCTACTGTTACAGGAGTGCAACTGTGCGTCTGGAGCCTCTCTCTAGCACCAGAGTAAGTACGGCATGTCAGCCAGCCCCACGTGGCATAGTCCTGGTGATGGCCTGAGAGAGAGGGCAAGTGAGGACGTGGTAGCCTGAGTGGGGCACGTGATGCTCGGTCGGGATCCTTCGGGAAAGGTCTCGAAGGGGGCGTGGCCGAAGGCGGAGCGAAGCCACGCCCAGGAGCATCAAGGAACAGTCCCGAGAGTGTTCTTGGCTCGTCTGTGGAATCAAGCCTGGGTCCCACGCCCCGTCGTCTACCGGGTCTTCGTCTCGAGTTAACTCGCTACTCACATCGTCAGCCACATCACCTCAGTGTTACCCGCTAGGGAAGTTGTTAAATAAAAGTGTTGCCTCCCAGTCCAGAGTGTGTGCCTCCGTGTTGGTAAACAACACTACATCTACTTGATGATGATGACGATATCAGCCACCTGGCTGACCTGCTATCATTTGTGATGGCCAGTTCGCTTATGATAACGAGCTACACAGCGGCTCAGTGGGGTCTTACCTGGTAATCTTAACATAGTTTGAGTATCGATTTAAAGCTTTCGTGACTGCAGACAGTGGTAGGACAGCGCTGTCCTACCAGACAGTCTCGCTCCCTTCACCTGATGAAGGCCGCTTGTGTTGTGGCCGAAACGTCGTGAGAATATTATTGTGTTATTTTATTTTATCAATTTATTATTTTATTCTCATTCTACGTGACTTTACCGAAAGAACCAAAGAAAATGAATCATTGCAGTCACGAAAGCTTTAAATCGAAATTTAACCGCCTCTACGGGGAGGGATTCCACACATCCTTAAGATCATTCAACAGACTTCGGGATAAGAAGGCTCAACTAATCGAGTCTCTCACCTTTCTGAAGAGAAGCCGCGACTCTAAGGTAATACCAACCGCATTTACACTCCAGCGCTGTCCTACCAGACAGTCTCGCTCCCTTCACCTGATGAAGGCCGCTTGTGTTGTGGCCGAAACGTCGTGAGAATATTATTGTGTTATTTTATTTTATCAATTTATTATTTTATTCTCATTCTACGTGACTTTACCGAAAGAACCAAAGAAGATAGTTTGAGTAGTTTAGTAAAAAGTTAAACTCATCACGAGAGCTTCAGAATCTTCTTTGGTTCTTTCGGTAAAGTCACGTAGAATGAGAATAAAATAATAAATTGATAAAATAAAATAACACAATAAAATTCTCACGACGTTTCGGCCACAACACAAGCGGCCTTCATCTGTCCTCCAGACAGTCTCGTCCCTTCACCTGATGAAGGCCGCTTGTGTTGTGGCCGAAACGTCGTGAGAATTTTATTGTGTTATTTTATTTTATCAATTTATTATTTTATTCTCATTCTACGTGACTTTACCGAAAGAACCAAAGAAGATGAATCCTTGCAGTCACGAAAGCTTCAAATCGAAAAGCTTCAGAATCTTTATCTTAGACCGGAAGAATCCAATGAGCTTTGAAGCTCTTTTGTGCACAGATGTCCAGTAGCGGCACTGGGTCAGAACGTTACAACAACGAACTGAAGATCGGATTGCAAAGTAGAGGAAAGGTAAACCAATCAATTGAAAAATATACAAATAAAACTAAACTTTACATTTGTTTATTTTACCAGGTAGGGTCCACTCAGCTATTAGCTTATTTTTCAGAAGCAAATCACGGTGCACATGTCGTGGTGTTTATTCACGCAGACAACTTCTTATTTTTCTCCTGTGTCACTTTATTCGAAGCATCCCACACGGATGCTCCTCACGTTCCACCACTCTTCTTTCCCTCTCTTGCTCCACTAGCCTGCTACCCCGCACTCCGCTAGCCTTTCACGGACGTTCTCTCTCTCTGGCTCCGCTAGCCTGTTCTCCGCTAGCCTCTTACTGTATACTCCACTAGCTTCTCACTCCACTAACCTCTCACTGAATCTCCTTCTCGCCTATTCTCCGCTAGCCTAACACACTCACACTCAGGATTCCGCTAGCCTCTCCCCCGCTAGCCTGTCACTACACCCACACCTCCAACCTCGCCCGTGCCCCAGCGGGGGTTCAGCCAACACCGCTGGGGGCCAGGACGAGGTGTGGAGGGCGAGGTCCCGGACGTTTCTTGCATTAACTCTTCACTTCTTCATCTTCAACCAACTCAACCCCGTTGCTTCACACGTCCCCCTCATATCCCCCTCCTCATTCAGTGTCCTCAGGTGGCCCTCGTTAAGCCGGCGTCCTTCCGGCGTCTCCTGCACGTGCTCCCCCCCTTATCGCCTCGATCTCTCGCCTTCTTGGCGCCTACTCCGTGTTTGAATTTGTAGCTAGCCAATCACTGCCTCTTTCCCTAATTGCTGGCGTCTCTCTGTCTGCTGTCTCTCAGGCCACACGCTTGCACCTGCTTCTCCTGACCTGCCCTCACTGATTTCAACCCCGTACATGAATGCCACTGCTGCTTGCAAACCCTGCACGCATTACGCCACTCCACATACATTGTCAGAGCAAGTTTGTCTGCATGTGTAAAGACGACTCGGACGCACTTGTCTTGAGATGCTTTCTTTAAGCAGCCACTTGCTCACTCAGACAGGCGGAGACTCCACTGCAACAGCCGTGAGTCTCCCACGCATTTCCCTTATATACGGTGCATGGCCACGCCCCTGTCCCGTGACCACGCCTTAGACAAGCTGACTCCAGTCCTCTTACGTCACCTGGCCACGCCCCTATTCTCGATCGTTCCTGTGGGCACCAGTCCATTCGCACCACAGGCTGACTCCCCTGTCATCACCTCCTGTGGCCGCTAGTCCATTCGCACCGCAGGCTGACTCTACTGTCATTATACGTTTAGAGAAATAGCGCTGGCTGCTGACGGAAAGTGGTAACTGCAGTGTACAGCAGTACACACGTCAGCAGGTGACAGTACACACGTCAGTCAGGTGACAGTGCACACGTCAGCACGTGACAGTACACACGTCAGCAGGTGACACTACACACGTCAGCGGGTGACAGTACACACGTCAGCAGGTGACAGTACACACGTCAGCAGGTGACAGTACACACATCAGCAGGTGACAGTACACACGTCAGCGGGTGACAGTACACACATCAGCAGGTGACAGTACACACGTCAGCGGGTGACAGTACACACGCCAGCGGGTGACAGTACACACGTCAGTCAGGTGACAGTACACACGTCAGCAGGTGACAGTACACACGCTAGCAGGTGACAGTACACACGTCAGCAGGTGACAGTACACACGTCAGCAGGTGACAGTACACACGTCAGTCAGGTGACACTACACACGTCAGTCAGGTGACAGTACACACGTCAGCGGGTGACAGTACACACGTCAATGGGTGACAGTACACACGTCAGCAGGTGACAGTACACACGTCAGCGGGTGACAGTACACAAGTCAGCGGGTGACGGTACACACGTCAGCGGGTGACAGTACACACGGGGGTAAGAAAACTGAGGGTAAAGCTCATGAAGGTGTCCATCTGGAAGCCCGGTAACCTGCTGGTAGGTTCCAGAAAGGGGGCGTGGCCAGGGCGGAGCGAGGCAACGCCGGGAGGATAAGAGGAGGCCCCCAGCAAGAGCTTGGGGCTGTTGCTGGAAGCGGATCCCCTCGCCGTGCTGTCGTCTCACCACCGCCGCCGTCTTCGCCATCGCTGGGCGCCGCTAGCCAGGCAGCCTGCCAACTGTTCTAGCTGGATAGTGCTGCCGACAGTAGACGGTTCTGTGTGATACGTAGGGTGCACCCTCGTGAGGTTGGCTGTGTCGGGTTGTGTCGGGTTTAACGATGACACAACATTTATATATTTATACGATCTAACCCAAAAAAAACCTCTATTATGGACATTATCAGAATATTTATTGATGCATTATCAAAATATTGATTGATACATTTTCAGAATATTGATTGATCGATTATCAGAATATTGACTGATGCATTGTCAGAATATTGATTGATGGATTATCAGAATATTGACTGATGCATTGTCAGAATATTGATTGATGCATTTCAGAATAATAATTGAGACAATAAAATATTAAAGCTTTCATGACTGCATAAAATTACTCATTGGTTTTTTCGGTAAAGTCATGTATGTAGAAATACAATAAAATTATGTTAAAACAAAAAACAATCACGACGTTTCGATCACAACGCAAGCGATCTTCATCAGGTGCCAAGAACAAATCACGGAGGTAAATACAACAAAAAGATGAGAGACGAGAATTCAACAAACCTGAAAAAACATTATGTAAAGCACATCCAGTCAGGCCAACAACACAGTTAGACACTTCCTGGTGGACCACGAATTTCAGAAGAGTGTTACATTTCGTGTTCAACCTTTGGATTGCACATGCCAGCATAGATAGAATGAAAAATACGAG